CCTTTTTTCCTTAAAAAAATATTTCTTAGCAGTATTTTTTTTATCCCTGATCATCCGGAAATAAGCGAAGAGAGAACACGTGGCCCCAAATCAACAATGTATGTTTGATCTGTCATTGAAGTCATTTAAAATAATTAGAAGACATTCAAATCTATTTTTTGACATTTCACCAGCAAAAATAAATCTACCTTCATTTCTTCATTTTGTAAAAAATACCCAAAGAGCAAATTATTCATTTTGGGGGTCTTATGGCAAGGATTATATTCACATTGGTATTGTTTTCTCATAATTTATATGAAGATGCTTCACATTTTTCAAAATAGAATATATTTAGGTCCTTCTTTTAGCACAAGAGTAACTGGGATGAAATGGCTTTGAACAGAAGCAAAGTATTAGTGGATGTTTATCAATACTTCTGTTTTTTCCCATCCCTGTAAATAATTACATAAATATCACGTTATGTTTTTTGCGTATTTTTTCTCTTGTTTTGATAAGTCAGCACATAATTTACTCCTTACAATAATTAATAATGTTTCTATTTTTTATATATTTTATATATTTTAATCATTATGGCAGTAACATTTGAAATTACACAGAAACTTGCTGAGGTTCTTGGTGGTAATAGGTGTGGTACATATTGCAAGGCCACTGAATACATCTGTATATTTTAGGGGTGACTATTGGTCTGGAAATCACTATTGCGATAACTATTGATATTGAAAGAAACTATTGCAATAACTATTGATATTGAAAGAAACTATTGCGATAAATATCGATAGTTTTTAGTGTATTATTTTAGATGGATTTTAGAGTTGAATTAAACCTTGGATCTGTAGTTTCCTTTGAATGTGATAACCATAACAACAAATAAAAAGTAAAGTTTGAGATATGACTGATTTGTTTTTCTTTACCCTCATAATTTAAGAAAAAGAAACTTCCATTCTCTGGATATTTCCAATATTTTCCGAATTAAATAGATCTGGGGGAAATAAGTCTTCGGTCTTTTTCCATCATCCGCTATTGTGCTATGAATGTGAAAAATGAACAAAGTGGATAAATGCTGAAATGTGATATTCTTCGCGATTAGGACCAAAGCATGCATGCATTAGACATAGATACAGGGCTCCAGGTCATTTTTCAGCATCAGCAGTAGGTACTCTTTGTTATTTTAATATAGGAGTACAGGCAACACTAAAGAGTGCACTTTTACTACTGAATGGAATTGAATGAATTCATCTTGGCTATTATTTTAGATATGCACCACAGCATTGCAACTCTCGTATAAACAGGTCAGTAAATATATACCGTCCAAGGCAGTATTTGCTAATATATTGGCTAGTGAACAATCCCAGTTAACACCCTTTCTGATTGATCAATGTACACAAGACTTATTTATTCGTGTATAATACACACTCGTTTGTTATATGCACCCTTAATTATGGGCAATTAAATTCTCGAAAATATATCTATCGTGTATAATACACACAGATTCTTCTTTTATATCCTTTCAGGCTATCAGCATAAACCACCAAATTTACAATCTTTCAAACTCTTTTTTAATCTCACCAAAATTATATTCTAATAAGAGCCCCCTATTTCTAATTTTGAGAGCGCCTGGGCGCTTATTATGTCGAATACGGTAGTAATTTTTTCTTTGTTGTACATGTATGTATATTGTATAATGCGCACCCTACTCTAGGGTGTCCAGTATTTTTGAGAAAAAAGCAGAAAAAATTTACCTCTAATCCCTTCAGCAGTCAGGTACACGAACAGGTGATAACAGACTTGGTCAATAAAAAATTGAAATAAAACATCACAAGACATGATGATTTACTGTTTTAATTGTATTTCCAGTTCTACTAGGCATTGTTTTATATGCAGAGATTAAGATTACTCTGTGTATTTTTACGTAAACTAAGCCGAAAACAGCAATCAGCTGTACACACATTTTCTTACAATCTACTGGTGATTTGGTTAATTACCGAATGATATAACTTTAAAGAATTTTGGTGCAAAGATCGGAAAAATTGTACCTAAAACTATTATTTTATCAGGCATAATATATTACAATAATGTGTTAGTTTAGTTGCAGCTTTACTATGTGTAAATAAAATAATCATAAACCATAAGCGTAGCACTTTGGTACAGCTGAGATCACTTTAGCCTGATATTTTTTACATATGGAACAATATAACCAGTCACCGTCGAAGCTCTTGGGAAATCTCTATGTTGACATATAACAGTCAACCTACAACAAATATGACTGTTAACGAGTCAAAGTATGGCATTAGCTGTGCGATCTACTAATCACTTCACACCCGATTTGGCCAAAATTAATGTAAACAATATTAAATGTAATCTTTTAATGAAATTAATAAAATAGTTTACAGACTGAATTCCAGATATACAATGAACACTATTTGTGACCAGACAGTGTAATTACATGATTAGTTTGTGTACTTCAGCACGGATTTGTTGACATGGTATTTCCGGAGTTACGTGCTCACGGTAAATGTCAAAACTCATTATGGCATGTATAATGCGCACCTCATCTACGCAGCTGTCTTTTTTGGAAAAAAAAGTTCACACTATACTCAAGATGATATGCTGCTTAAAATCAGAGTATAATTTTTGGGAAATACGTCTTAAATGTTTGTTTAACCGTACATGTCTGCTGTGATGCGTGTCTGCAATGTTTTCTAAATCATCCCCCATAGTATCGTGCATGTTTTCATCCATACATACACCGATACAGCCTTTATCTGTAGCCCCGTACATGCAATATAATTACCGCATTCGACGTAATAAGCGCCCACTAGTGAACAATCCCCTTTGCACCCCTTCCAATTGATCAATGTACGCAAGACTTATTTATTCGTGTATAATACGCACTCGTGTATTATATGCACCCTTAATTATTGGCAATTAAATTCTGGAAAATTATATCTGTCGTATATAAACAGTCAGGCCGTCAGCATAAACCACGAAATTTACGATCTTTCAACTCTGTTTTTTTCTTCACCAAAATAATATTCTAAGAAGAGCCCCCTATTTCTAATTTTGAGTGCGCCCTGGGCGCTTATTACGTCGAATACGGTAGGTGTGTGATAAGATGAATTTGTTGTCCACAACCTCGCATCAAGAACAGTGGACAACTTATGTTTCTTCTTGAACGAAGCACTCAGCAATATTCCAGCTACGTGACAGGGGCTTTTACTCCTGGTTAATCACATACACTGAGCTGACAGGATTCCATGCCGGAGTACTCCTCCAGTGCCTCATGCGTGTGGAGATGATGACATTGCATGTCGTCAGTGTGTTTCCTGTAGGGCTGGGATGAGTCCTGATGTATGACCTGGGTACTCAACCCCTATTACCCGACCCTACCCGGGTACCCACCCCACTATTACCCGACCCTACCCGGGTACCCACTGTAGGTCTCAAGAGTTGGGTACATAATGTCCAATTGGGAATTGTTTTACTGGAGCCCTGGCAAATGCTATTTACATGCACGTATAGAACGATCAGATCATGCATACATTGAAGTCAACTGAAGTTATTTCTTTACTCAGGGCGGTCGGGTAGCCTAGTGGTTAAAGTGTTCGCTCGTCACGCCGAAAACCCGGGTTCAATTCCCGACATGGGTACAATGTGTGAAGCCCATTTCTGGTGTCCCCCGCCGTGATATTGTTGGAATATTGCTAAAAGCGGCGTAAAACCATACTCACTCACTATTTCTTTACTCAAACGTATAAAAGTCAGAAACACTGTGTGCATAGTCTGAAAGAAATGCAAACATAAGCGACTTTTATTGTTATTGTCATTAAACAGTATATCACATGACTAACAACTGGTCCGGGTAGTCCTGTGGGTACCCGGGTCCTACTCAGAACCCACCCAACCCGGGTACCCGAGTTACCCGTCCCAGCCCTAGTTCCCCGCCTGATTCTGTCATTGTACATTGTACCAGACTGGTGGATCGGTGCTCATGCTGTCAACCACTTGTTTGCCTCGTCTGGTCACTCAGTTACAGGCAGCCGTTATGCAGCTGTGATTTGATTGGCTTCAGTGTTGAACAGCATTCGCTCACCACTGAAACAATAACTGTCGTGGTTCGTTCTGTCGCCAGTGTACACACGTCAACCTTACAGTCCTGTGTGTAAAAAGATTATAATCATGATAATGGTGATTGACATGATGTGAAGGACTATTGTCAGATATTGCCTTTCACCATGATAGATAGCATCTGTTGGTAGTTGATAGGGACAATTCTCCTCTTAGGATATGATAGAGAAATGTTGATGAAAGGGAGGTAACTCTTGGTAAGGGTTGTCAGTACTGTAATTTTGGTCAGAAATTTTTAGTTCCTGGTTCAAACCCGGCAGGAGAAAATGAGTGTGTGCCTTTGAGGATCTTTTAATCTTTTTACACTACAGTTCAGTCCTTGATATATTGAACATCAACAAGACTGAAGAAAAATGATATGTTTTATGATTAAATTATAACATGTAATTTAGCATGTGTTTTGATACTGTGTAATTTACTTTGATAGTTTATGAATTCTTATCATATTATTAGGATGTCCTTTGGGTTTTTCTCATACCTATATGGCTAATATTTTGATGATTTAGCAATATTCCAGCTATATGACAGCAGTCTGTAAATAATCAAGTCTGGACCACACAATCCACTGATTGACATGAGCAATGATCTACGTAATTGGGATACGATGACATGCATTAGTCGCCTGTTACGACAAACATAGTCGCCCCTTATTTCATTGACTCACACTAGAATTACGTCTTTAACCTGTGATACTTTGGGCATTCCTTCTACATTTAAGTAATTGAAGTAATGATAGAGCAACACTGAGCTCCTGACTGTGGTGTTCCTTCATTTATGACCAGGATTGATTCTGGCCTCTACAAACCATGTAATGTAAGTGTATACTGTAAGGAAAGATGACATGTGATAACAGAATACTGACCTTTTGTTGCCAGGTCCATCTGACAAGCATGAATTCCAGGCTGAGACTCGTCAACTGCTGGACATTGTGGCCAAGTCACTGTACTCGGAGAAGGAGGTGGGTGGTCCGACATTAAGTCACTGTACTCTGAAAAGGGGGTGGGTGGTCCGACATTAAGTCACTGTACTCTGAAAAGGGGGTGGGTGGTCTGACATTAAGTCACTGTACTCAGAGGAGGTGGGTGGTCCGACATTAAGTCACTGTACTCTGAAAAGGGGGTGGGTGGTCCGACATTAAGTCACTGTACTCTGAAAAGGGGGTGGGTGGTCCGACATTAAGTCACTGTACTCGGAGAAGGAGTAGGGTGCTCTGACATTATGTCACTGTACTCAGAGAAGGAGGTGGGTGGTCCGACATTAAGTCACTGTACTCAGAGAAGGAGTAGGGTGCTTTGACATTAAGTCACTGTACTCAGAGAAGGAGTAGGGTGCTCTGACATTAAGTCACTGTACTCGGAGAAGGAGGTGGGTGGTCCGACATTAAGTCACTGTACTCAGAGAATGGGGTGGGTGGTCCGACATTAAGTCACTGTACTCAGGGAATGGGGTGGGTGGTCCAGCATTAAGTCACTGTACTCAGGGAATGGGGTGGGTGGTCCAGCATTAAGTCACTATACTCGGAGAATGGGGTGGGTGGTCCGACATTAAGTCACTGTACTCGGAGAATGAGGTGGGTGGTCCGACATTAAGTCACTGTACTCAGGGAATGGGGTGGGTGGTCCGACATTAAGTCACTGTACTCAGAGAATGAGGTGGGTGGTCCGACATTAAGTCACTGTACTCAGAGAATGGGGTGGATGGTCTGACATTAAGTCACTGTACTCAGGGAATGGGGTGGGTGGTCCGACATTAAGTCACTGTACTCAGAGAATGGGGTGGGTGGTCCGACATTAAGTCACTGTACTCAGAGAATGGGGTGGGTGGTCCGACATTAAGTCACTGAACTCAGAGAATGGGGTGGGTGGTCCGACATTAAGTCACTGAACTCGGAGAATGGGGTGGATGGTCTGACATTAAGTCACTGAACTCAGAGAATGGGGTGGGTGGTCCGACATTAAGTCACTACTTGTGGTTCTATTCCTGTGGTGCTTCATGACACCACCCAGTGAGCTTCATCTTGTTTCCAACTGTAGGTGTTCATCCGTGAGCTCATCTCCAACGCCAGCGATGCCCTGGAGAAACTGCGCTACGTGCAGCTGAGTGGGTCAGAGGTCAGCGGAGCAGGCACGCCCCTGGAGATTCACATTGCAACTGACGAGTCCAAGAAAACTTTCACTATTCAGGTGAGAACTTCATGATCTGGGCATCGTTCCTCAAAGCGCTCTTAGTGTTATGACTGTCATAGGCTTGTGTTAAAGTATGGGAGTTACAATCATCTTAGCGCTAAGATTGCTTTGTGGAACGGGGCCCAGTGATGTAGCCTCGTCAGGCTTTTAGATCGGTTCATTTTTTCGGCCATTGACTTGATTATCAAACAATATCCAATAATTTTTTCCAGATTTGGTAGAAGAATGTCAAATTAAAATTTGATAAAATCGTAAAAGAATCCTAATGCTTTTCATTGTATCCCAATTGCGTAGATCAATTCTCATGATGTCAATCACTGGATTGTCTGGGCCACACTCGATTATTTACAGATCGCCATCCTATAGATGGAATATAGTGTGGCATTAAACAACAAACAAACAAAACATCACTGTCAGTGGTTAATGTGTTCTTTTGTTGGTCCTGTGATCTCTTCCGAGTATGGGTGAATCACTATTACATGCTTGCCAAATAGTCAGAGGTGCTTGATGCTGTATATCAACTGAGTATTGATTCAGTGTTTGTGTCATGAATCAAGTGTACATGGACTTCAGCTGCCCAATACCCCCTGGATTCCTAGTCCATATTGGCCTCCTCCATGCTATTGCTTGTAAGAGGCGAATAAATCTGACTAAGACTGGGATTGGTGAGTTAGGCTGTGACTTGGCAGATTGTGTGTCACTGTATCCACAGCCTGGATGGTTGCTCATGATTTCAATCACTTGTTTGTGTGGCCCAGACTCCATTACAGCCCTCAAGATATGGCTGGAATTTCATATCAAATCAAAATCAAATTATACATGAATTTGGCACTTATGTCCATCCATAGCTGCTCAAAAGCACATGGAGTCACTGATGCTTAGGGAAAAATGTTTCTGTCATGCACTATGCTGAAATTGTGGGTTGTCAGCCTGGCCCAGGATAGAATGTGGGTTCCAGGATAGAATGTGGGTTCCAGGACAGAATGTGGGTTCCAGGATAGAATGTGGGTTCCAGTACAGAATGTGGGTTCCAGTACAGAATGTGGGTTCCAGGACAGAATGTGGGTTCCAGGATAGAATGTGGGTTCCAGTACAGAATGTGAGTTCCATGACAGAATGTGGGTTCCAGGATAGAATGTGGGTTCCAGTACAGAATGTGAGTTCCATGACAGAATGTGGGTTCCAGGATAGAATGTGGGTTCCAGGATAGAATGTGGGCTCCAGGATAGAATGTTCTCCAGTAGCCAATGCTAGTAATAAACAACCACCAAATGAATAGGTTGTCAGGCTCAGTGCCTTAGGTAGGGCCTAAGGTGTGAAACAGTGGAAGAGACTTTGCCGAGAGAAAAGTTGTTGGCAAGAGTCACAGAAGGTCACTGAAACACTGTGCATTTTATAAAAAAAATTGTATGATCTGAATGGAATATACATTCCATTTTATGTCCTTCAGCAAATTCACGGGTAACTTGTCCTGACCATGGTTGTCGGACAAGTGTGCAGCTATCGGAGAATGGTGACCTTGAAACCCTGATCACGTTTTTGTGTTTAAAATGTTTCAGTTTTTTCAGATATGGTTCTAATTTTCAGGACACGGGCATTGGTCTGACCAAGGAGGAGTTGATTGACAACCTGGGAACCATTGCCAAGTCTGGGTCTAAGGTATGTATTGTTCTTCCTCCAGCCGTTGTTATGATCTCAGACCGCCTCCAGCAGAAGGTCCAGGGTTCGATTTCCGGCTACATCATACCAAACGACGTTAAGAGATGGTACTTATTGTTATCCTGTCTGGCGCTCGGCATTAAGGGGCTAAAACAAGGACTGGTCGGCTCGGAGTCAGTATACTGTGTCTGAGTGGGGAAGTCATGTTAAACTGCGGCATGATATCTCAGTAAGCTAGCACTTTAAATCGGCATCAGTCCGGACTAGTACAAGCAGCCACACACTCACATGCTTGCACATCGCTATGTAAGTGCAATAATCTTGGACGGGACGTTAAACCCCATTTCACCTCACCTGTTATGATGTCAGGGGTGTTGTTAAAGCATGTGCTTGTCTTGCTGAAGACTTGGTTCATGGTTTTGCTGTGTACTTCCAGTGGCCCACCCTCCAGGACCCGTGAAGATCCGGGGTAGAATAGGTCTTCAGCAACCCATGCTTGCCATAAAAGGCGACTATGCTTGTCGTAAAAGGCGACTAACGGGATCTGGTGGTCAGGCTCGCTGACTTGGTTGATGCCCGTCATCAATCCCAATTGCGTGGATTGATGCTCATGATATTAATCACTGGATTGTCTGGTCCAGACTCGATTATTTACAGACCGCCGTCATATAGCTGGAATATTGCTGAGTGCGGCGTTAAACAACCAACCCTCCAGAGATCAGAAGAACCACCAAATTCTGCTGCTTTGTTCACCATTTTGTTGTCAGGATGTTAACATAGAAAACTTATTGAATACTCAACAAACTAAACTAATGGATTTCAGGCAATTTCATTTTGTTCATTTGTGAATAAAGTTTGCCAGCTACCAAATCCATTAAATCAAAGGTTCATGAATGATTCTGACATAATATGGAAATTAGTCAAGTCTGATTGGTCAATTAGAGGTATGAAATCACAATAACTACCTCCGATTGAAACAGACGATTTGATGGCCGTATCACAGTGAAAGTTAGTTTTTCTAGAAAAGTACTTCTCTCTCAGTCATTGTTGGTAGGCATTTTTTTAATTATATGTAAAATTGTAGGTTACAGAATGATTCAATGATTATCTGGTCAGTGGATGATGCAGACATTTACTGTTTATGGATGTGACCTATCTTATTGTGGCAACTTTAGTATTCCTTATCAGGATTTAAATACTACTCAATCACTCACAGTATATAGTGGGCGGTGGACAGCCTAGTGGTTAAAGCTTTCACTCGTCACGCTGAAGACCCGGGTTCAATTCCCCACATGGATATAATGTGTGAAGCCTATGTTTGGTATCCCCCGCTGTGATATTGCTGGAATATTGATAAAAACAGCATAAAACCGTAATCACTGACTCACCCAAAACCCACTCACTCACTCACTCACCCAAATCACACTCACTCACTCACTCACTTACTCACCCACTCACTCACCCACCAAATCACTCACCCATTCACTCACTCACCCACTCACTCACTCACTCACTCGGTTTTATATAGTGTACATAGCATGAATGTTCTCTTCCTATTGTTGTCACCAGGCATTCATCGAGCAGCTCAAGGACAAGGCTGATGCATCGACCAATCTGATTGGTCAGTTTGGTGTTGGGTTCTACTCCACGTTCATGGTGGGAGACCGAGTGGATGTGTACACCCAGTCACACAATCCAGACTCGCCACCCCTCAAGTGGTCTTCTGACGGGTAAGAAGGAGCTGATTGGATAAATCTATAAACAGTGACACTGGACAACCATATCGCCAGTTTCCCGATGTAATGTCATGAAGTCTAGTTTGTGTTCGGGACACATGTGGCCAAGTGGTATCAGACACTGCACCTCACTGAACAGAGTTATGTCCCTTAAGGGTGCCAGGATCAGATGTTCATGCTTCAAAACCCAGATTCACCCTGACTATCATTCTTGGTTTGTTAGCACCATACCCATGCTCATAGGTTTCACCAAAATGGTAAACGTCTAAGACCTGTATGAGTTCAGACTTGCCTCCAATATCAAACTGCTACGCCATGGTATAACTGGAATATTGTTCAGAGTGGCGTTAACCTCACTCTCGTTCAGGTGACTAACGGGATCGGGTGGTCAGACTCGCTGACTTGGTTGAAGCATGTCATCGATCCCAATTGCGTGGATCGATGCTCATGATATCAATCACTGGATTGTCTGGTCCAGACTCGATTATTTACAGACTGCCTTCATATAGCTGGAATATTGCTGAGTGCGGCGTAAAACAACAAACCAACCAACCAACCACTCTCACTCACTCAGTTACTGACTATATATGTTTGAGGTGCAGACAGGCACTGGTACGCAGGATAGAACTGCATGATCACTTCCACAGACAGCACTTCTGTCACAATATATGAACATTGACCGTATGATGCACTGATGATTTCATCTTCCACAATGGGGCGAGGGGGTAGCCTAGTGGATAGAGCGTTCACTCATCACTCTGAAAACGGTTTGATTCCCCACACGGGTACAATGTGTGAAGCCTGTGCATTTCTGGTGTTCCCCATCATGATATTGCAGGAATATTACTAAATCAAACTCACTCATCTTGCACACGTTAAAGATGGTACTTGTTGTTACCCTGTCTGGCGCTCAGCATTAAGGGGCTAAAACAAGGACTGGTCAGCTCTGAGTCAGTATACTGTGTCTGAGTGGGGTATTAATGTTAAACTGCGGCATGGTATCTCAGTGTGCTAGCACTATAAATCGGCATCAGTCCGGACTAGTACAAGCAGCCACACACACACACATACACGTGCATGCATGCCGCTATATAAGTGCAATAATCTTGGACGCGACGTTAAACCCCATTTCACCTCACATCATCTTGCACACTGTTTCTTCTGGTGTAGTTCTGGATCCTATGAGATATCGGAGGCGGAGGGCGTGCAGCGCGGCACGAAGATCGTCATCCATCTGAAGGGAGACTGCTATGACTATGCCAAGGAGGAGATCATCAATGGTAAGACATGGCATACTGCTTTCATTCTCAGCTCCCCGGGGAGTATTCAAGCCAAGCTGCCTGTTTTAGCATTAGAAGGTCACATTACCATCTCATCCTGCCAGGTACCCATTCACTGCTGAATAGTAGAAAACAAATACCACATTTTAAGGTGTTCATGTAGAGTTTGTGTCTCCTCTGCAGATGTTATCAGAAAGTACAGCAACTTCGTGGGTGTCCCCATCTTCCTCAACGGCAAGAGGGCAAACATCATCCAGGTAAGTTGTGAGACATTTTAAAACATAGGAAATACTGATTGGAGCAACAGTTTGCGGTAGGGCTGGGACGAGTCCAAATTTACTACCCGGGTACCACCCTATTACCCGACCCTACCCGGGTACCTGCTGTAGGTCTCAAAAGATAGGTGCAAAATGTTTGATTGGCAATTGTTTTTCTGCAGCTCTGGCCAAAACTATTTAGATACATGTATCAAACAATCAGATCATGCATTCACTGAAGTTGGCTAAAGCTTTATCTTTACTCAAACATATACGAGACAAATTAATGTGTTCATCGTCAGAAAGAAGTGCAAACTTTAGCAACTTGTAGTGTAACCACTGAGCTATAGTGAGTTTTTGTCATTAAATATTATATCACGTGACTAACCATGGGTCCGGGTTGTACTGTGGGTACCCGGGCCCTACTCCAGACCCATTTGACCCGATTACCCGAGTTATCCGTCCCAGCCCTAGTTTGCGGAATATTATTTAGAGATCATGAGCTATGATTGCAGATGTTTTCATTGCAAAAATTTTTGTTTGAACTCGTACATTTGTATGCATGGTCCGTTTCGGAATAGTTTGAACAAGTATGCAATGTAACCATGGTAACTCATCACGCAGGCCCTATGGATGATGGACCCCAAGGAAATCACAGAGGACATGCATGAATCGTTCTTTCGCTTCATCGCAAATGCCTATGACAAGCCTCGGTATCACTTCCAGTATAAGACAGATGCTCCACTCAACATCCGCGCTTTGTTCTACATTCCAGAATACAAGCCCAGTGAGTAGGAGAGAAGCATCGGGTATATCCTTGAATACAAACCTAGTGGGTAGGGGAGTAGCATTGTGTACATCCTTGAATGCAAACCTAGTGGATAGGGGAGTAGCATCGGGTACAACCTTGAATACAAACCTAGTGGGTAGGGGAGTAGCATCAGGTTCAACCTTGAATACAAGCCTAGTGGGTAGGGGAGTAGCATCATGTGAGTAGGGGAGTAGCATCAGGTAAAGCCATGAATACAAGCCTTTTCTTTAACACAGAGTAAAGACAGTTGTTTATTATGTTTCGTGCTGTGTATTGCTGTGACACTAAAATTGATTCCTTCCTGACCTTCACCTTGCAGCCATGTTTGACATGAGTCGGGAGACGGACGTGAGTGTCACACTGTACAGCAGGAAGGTCATGATCCTCCAGAAGGCGAACAGCATTCTGCCCAAATGGCTCCGCTTTGTCAGAGGTAAGACAGACAGGATTGAGTAACCAGATTAACAGCTAGAATATATTTTGAATATCTTGAGACTTAAACAAGATATTATATTTTATTGTGTTCACATATTTTTACCATTCCGACATACTTCTTAAATTATCACTGATCATCGTAATGATTTTATCTTTCACCAGAGCTCCAGATAACTTTTTGAGAAATTGAGTTTTTACTCGTAGGTTTCTATTTTAAATGGGTTATTACATTTTTCATTGAGTAACCAATATTTTTTCACTCATCTATTCATCACTCTATTTTTTAGTAAGCATTTTGAGATTTAAAAAAAAATGAAGTAATGTTTTATATGTATGTAACAGTTCTAAATATAGGCTTGACTCGGAATGTAAATTTGATCGTAACTGTTTTTCGAAAATTAGCTCTGTTGTACGCTTGCTGAAAAAGCTTCATTGGGTATTAACGTGTGCTGTTTTTAAACAATTTAGTTTTTCAGTTAATGCAAGCGTTTCTGTATGCAAGTTAATTGAAAGTAATTGGGTTTTGAATAGTTTTGGGGAGTATTTTATGCAAATACGCTGCTCATCTGGAGCTCTGCTTTCCCATTCAGTCAGGACAGGCTTGAATTGCTGGTGTGATGCTGGTGTCATGTTGCAGTTGTGTGTTAGATGTGTGGTGTGATGTCAGTGTCATGTTGCAAGTGTGTGTTAGATGTGTGGTGTGATGTCGGTGTCATGTTGCAGGTGTGTGTTAGATGTGTGGTGTGATGTCGGTGTCATGTTGCAGGTGTGTGTTAGATGTGTGGTGTGATGTCGGTGTCATGTTGCAGGTGTGTGTTAGATGTGTGGTGTGATGTCAGCGTCATGTTGCAGGTGTGTGTTAGATGTGTGGTGTGATGTCAGTGTCATGTTGCAAGTGTGTGTTAGATGTGTGGTGTGATGTCGGTGTCATGTTGCAGGTGTGTGTTAGATGTGTGGTGTGATGTCGGTGTCATGTTGCAGGTGTGTGTTAGATGTGTGGTGTGATGTCGGTGTCATGTTGCAGGTGTGTGTTAGATGTGTGGTGTGATGTCAGCGTCATGTTGCAGGTGTGTGTTAGATGTGTGGTGTGATGTCGGTGTCATGTTGCAGGTGTGTGTTAGATGTGTGGTGTGATGTCAGTGTCATGTTGCAGGTGTGTGTTAGATGTGTGGTGTGATGTCAGTGTCATGTTGCAGGTGTGTGTTAGATGTGTGGTGTGATGCTGGTGTCATGTTGCAGGTGTGTGTTAGATGTGTGGTGTGATGTCAGTGTCATGTTGCAGGTGTGTGTTAGATGTGTGGTGTGATGTCGGTGTCATGTTGCAGGTGTGTGTTAGATGTGTGGTGTGATGTCGGCGTCATGTTGCAGGTGTGTGTTAGATGTGTGGTGTGATGTCAGCGTCATGTTGCAGGTGTGTGTTAGATGTGTGGTGTTATGTCAGCGTCATGTTGCAGGTGTGTGTTAGATGTGTGGTGTGATGTCGGTGTCATGTTGCAGTTGTGTGTTAGATGTGTGGTGTGATGTCGGTGTCATGTTGCAGGTGTGTGTTAGATGTGTGGTGTGATGTCAGCGTCATGTTGCAGGTGTGTGTTAGATGTGTGGTGTGATGTCAGTGTCATGTTGCAGGTGTGTGTTAGATGTGTGGTGTGATGTCAGTGTCATGTTGCAGGTGTGTGTTAGATGTGTGGTGTGATGTCAGTGTCATGTTGCAGGTGTGTGTTAGATGTGTGGTGTGATGCTGGTGTCATGTTGCAGGTGTGTGTTAGATGTGTGGTGTGATGTCAGTGTCATGTTGCAGGTGTGTGTTAGATGTGTGGTGTGATGTCAGTGTCATGTTGCAGGTGTGTGTTAGATGTGTGGTGTGATGTCGGCGTCATGTTGCAGGTGTGTGTTAGATGTGTGGTGTGATGTCAGCGTCATGTTGCAGGTGTGTGTTAGATGTGTGGTGTGATGTTGGTGTCATGTTGCAGGTGTGTGTTAGATGTGTGGTGTGATGTCAGCGTCATGTTGCAGGTGTGGTGGACAGCGAGGACATCCCCCTCAACCTCAGTCGAGAACTGCTACAAGACAGCAACCTCATCAGGTGAGTGACCCTAGGGTTCAGATTAAATAGCACCTGCTTGTCTCCCTGTGGGTACTCCAGGTTAAATAGCACCTGCTTGTCTCCCTGTGGTTACTCCAGGTTAAATAGCTCCTGCTTGTCTCCCAGTGGGTACTCCAGGTAAAATATCACCTGCTTGGCTCCCTGTGGATATTAATTGTCCACAAAGCAATCTTCACACTTTTACAAATAGGCCCCTCTTCTCGTCTTCCTTTAAGTATAACAAGCCTTACCTGGTCTGAAGAGTAATGGTGATCTGCTATTAAAGCTGCAGTGGATACCTTTTAATGTCTGAAAGTATCCCATTAATTCATGTGGTATGTTTACAGGAAACTGCGTCAGGTGTTGACAGCACGTGTCCTAAAATTCTTACTGGAGCAGGCACGCAAGGATGAGGACAAGTACCTCAAGTTCTACGAGGATTACGGCATGTTCTTCCGGGAGGGAATCATCACCACCATGGAGCAGGACCAGCGGGTGAGGGGCACGCTGTAGTGGGGGTCTGTAGTCAGGGGGGCGCTCTGTAGAGGGGGTCTGTAGTCAGGGGGGGGCGCTGTAGTGGGGATCTGTAGTCAGGGGGCGCGCTGTAGTCAGGGGGCACACTGTAGTCAGGGGGCACACTCTAGTGGGGGTCTGTAGTCAGGGGGTACGCTGTAGTGGGGGCTTGTAGTCAGGGGGCGGGCTGTCGTAGGGGCTTGCAGTCAGGGGGCACGCTGTAGTCAGGGGGCGCGCTGTAGTGTGGGCTTGTAGTCAGGGGCGCGCTGTAGTCAGGAGGCGCGCTGTAGTGTGGGCTTGTAGTCAGGGGCGCGCTGTAGTCAGGAGGCGGGCTGTAGTGGGGGCTTGTAGTCAGGGGGCGCACTGTAGTGGGGGCTTGTAGTCAGGGGGCACACTGTTGTTGGGGCCTGTAGTCAGGAAGCACACTGTAGTTGGGGCCTGTAGTCAGGAAGCACACTGTAGTTGGGGCCTGTAGTCAGGGGGCACACTGTAGTTGGGGCCTGTAGTCAGGGGGCACACTGTAGTCAGGAGGCACACTGTAGTTGGGGGGCACACTGTAGTTGGGGGGCACACTGTAGTTTGGGGCACACTGTAGTCAGGAGGCACACTGTAGTTGGGGGGCACACTGTAGTCAGGAGGCACACTGTAGTCAGGGGGCACACTGTAGTTGGGGGGCACACTGTAGTTGGGGCCTGTAGTCAGGGGGCACACTGTAGTTGGGGCCTGTAGTCAGGGGGCACACTGTAGTTGGGGGGCACACTGTAGTCAGGAGGCACACTGTAGTCAGGGGGCACACTGTAGTTGGGGGGCACACTGTAGTTGGGGCCTGTAGTCAGGGGTCACACTGTAGTTGGGGCCTGTAGTCAGGGGGCACACTGTAGTTGGGGCCTGTAGTCAGGGGTCACACTGTAGTTGGGGCCTGTAGTCAGGGGGCACACTGTAGTTGGGGCCTGTAGTCAGGGGTCACACTGTAGTTGGGGCCTGTAGTCAGGAAGCACACTGTAGTTGGGGGGCACACTGTAGTCAGGAAGCACACTGTAGTTGGGGGGCACACTGTAGTTGGGGGGCACACTGTAGTCAGGAGGCACACTGTAGTCAGGGGGCACACTGTAGTTGGGGGGCACACTGTAGTCGGGAGGCACACTGTAGTCAGGGGGCACACTGTAGTTGGGGGCTGTAGTCAGGGGTCACACTGTAGTTGGGGCCTGTAGTAAGGGGTCACACTGTAGTTGGGGCCTGTAGTCAGGGGTCACACTGTAGTCAGGAGGCACACTGTAGTTGGGGGGCACACTGTAGTTGGGGCCTGTAGTCAGGGGGCACACTGTAGTCAGGGGGCACACTGTTGTTGGGGCCTGTAGTCAGGGGGCACACTGCTGTTGGGGCCTGTAGTCAGGGGGCACACTGTAGTCAGGGGTCACACTGTAGTTGGGGCCTGTAGTCAGGGGTCACACTGTAGTTGGGGGCTGTAGTCAGGGGGCACACTGCTGTTGGGGCCTGTAGTCAGGGGGCACACTGTAGTCAGGGGTCACACTGTAGTTGGGGCCTGCAGTCAGGGGTCACACTGTAGTTGGGGCCTGTAGTCAGGGGGCACACTGCCGTTGGGGCCTGTAATCAGGGGGCACACTGTAGTCAGGGGTCACACTGCCGTTGGGGCCTGTAGTCAGGGGGCACACTGTAGTCAGGGGTCACACTGCCGTTGGGGCCTGTAGTCAGGGGTCACACTGCCGTTGGGGCCTGTAATCAGGGGGCACACTGTAGTCAGGGGTCACACTGCCGTTGGGGCCTGTAGTCAGGTGTCACACTGTTGTTGGGGCCTGTAGTCAGGGGGCACGCTGTAGTCAGGGGGCAGCTGAAGTCAGTGTCCATGCTGTAGTGGGGGCCTGTTATCAGGGGGCATGCTCTTATGGGGACCTGTAGTTAGGGTGCACACTGTAGTGGGGCCCTGTACTCAGTGTCCATGCTGTAGTGGGGGCCTGTAGTCAGGGGGCATGCTCTAGTGGGGGCCTGTACTCAGTGGCCATGCTGTAGTGGGGGCTTGTAGTCGGGTTCAAACAACTATCCTTTCAGTCTCTGGTCCATTATGCCAAAAATAGGTTCTCGGGTATATATTGCTTTAAAAAAAACTTCCTTCTACTTCTGCCTCATCTTAATTAATTATTCCCCTGTTGCCATGGTTACCTTGTAGGAGGAGATATCGAAGCTGATGAGGTTTGAGTCATCCAAGTGTCCGCCAGGAGAGAAGGTCAGCCTACAGGACTACTCCTCTCGCATGAAGGCCGGGGCGCGGGACATCTATTTCCTGTCCGCTCCCAGGTACGTGGCGGACCAAACATTTCTATTCCGTCATTGTTGTTTAGCACCACACTTAGCAATACTCCAGCTGACGTCATCCTGTAAATAATCAAACCAGACAAAACTAGTGATTCATTTTATTTTCTGTTGAGGTACAATGACATGCAATCGACCAAGTCACATCCCTTGGGTCACCTCTTACAGCCAGCACAGGTTGCTGGCCAAATGGAATGGTGGTCAGGCTTGGTTGCTTGGTTGATTGTCACCATATCCCTATGGCGTGAATCATTGCTCACAACTCCGATCACTAGATTGTGAAGTTTTCACAGGCCACCATCATGTAGCTGGAATATTGGTTAGTGCGGCATTAACCAAGAACCGAACTAACATCCCCATGATCTGCTTGTTCCTGCAGTCGGGAGCTGGCGGAGTCCTCCCCGTACTTCGAGGCCATGAAGAAGCAGGACACGGAGGTCCTGTTCCTGTACGAGCCCTACGATGAGCTGGTCCTCATGAACCTGGGACAGTACGACCGCAAGAACCTGAAGTCCATTGAGAACGAGATCTCCGCTGACAAGGATGACGCCAACAAGGTGGATGAGCAAGGTCAGGAGAATCACGACTTGGACATATCAAAACAGAACCTATAAAATTGATTTCTCAAAAGATCTTTGTAAAAAATCCACTTCTTTACACAACCAACTTCACAAGTGTTATGTTCAAGAATATAATCAGTAACCATGGTAACTCTTGTCCCTGATGGGGCGGTCAGGTAGCCTAGTGGTTAAGCGTTCACTCATCACACCGAAGACCTGGGTTCGATTCCCAACATGGGTACAATGCGTGGGCCCCATTTCTGGTTCCCCTGCCGTGATATTGCTGGAATATTGCTAAAAGCAGCGTAAAACCATACTCACTCACTCTTGTCCCAGATGAGAGCAGCCTGAAGCAGGATGAGGCGACAACACTGATGGACTGGCTGAAGACAGTTCTCACCAACAAGGTCCAGCAGGTGAAGGTATGTGGCTTGGCCTTGCGGCAGTTAAAGAGAGGCGGGATAGAGTCCCTTTAATGCCTTGTTTCAGGGATCAGCCCCTTAGGCAACTCAAGAGGCTTCAGCCCATACACAACACATGCACATGTTGTAATGAGAACTTCTAAATGGATGCCCGTAACTCCTGCTCTGATGCTGCTGCATTGGTTGCCTCTCAAAGCCAGAATTGAATTCAAACTATTAACATGAGCCCACAACTGCTTCAATCAATCAGCCCCACTGTATCTGATGGAACTTTTGCCTGAATATAAACCATCCAGATCTCTCTGTTATGAAACGCCTACAAGTTAAAAAAAACCTCTTGAAGACTTTCAGCTATAGATCTTTCCAATACTGTGCTTCAACCCTTTGGAACAATCGACCAACAGAACTTAAATTCTCACCATCACTCCCATCATTCAAGGCATATTAAAGACCTACATTTTCAAAAAGTACTTTCCTGTCTAGATCAACCCCCCGACCCCCTCCACGCTCATATATTTCCCAAGCTCCTTCATAGAGCATAACACCTTCGTTACACTCTCGGTAACATCTCTGCCACCAGTGTGGGCACGGCCATTACAAGAATCTTGAAATTTGCCCTCTAACCCCAAATTTAGTAACGTTTATACTTTCGTTTATGACTTTGGGAATGCCATCATATTTCATTTTGAAAAAGTTTACGACTGACCATTTTTTCCAGATGAATTTACTTTGTTGTTTGTATAATCAGATTGGTTCGAGATTGCAGAGGAACGGAAAATCAACCAAGGTCTCCCTTACATTCTTACAAAATTAATTACATGATAGTTTTAATGAAATAGAAATTAAATTTGACAAGCAAAGAACAGTGATTTAGCAGGGGTAATTGTATTCAGCGTCACGACAGTCGTCACTTGTTTGTAAACATAACAGTCATTCAGTTGCGAGTTCAACTCCAAGCATGGTTGGGGCCACCTAAAACAGTGGGGAGTTTTGACTGGTGGCAGCGATAGTCTCTAGAGAGCTCCGCAAACGGGCTATCGCTGTGATGAGCCTGATATATTTCCCTGTTATAGTATAACCTCCTACAGTATGTAGCACAATGAGCATGAGCTTTGTGAATAGAAAGTGGAAGGGGAATATAGGAATGGGTGCTGTCCGTCCGTCCTTCCATTCGTCCGTCCGTCCGTCCGTCACGTTTCATTTCCAGAGCAGAACTCAAGAACAATGAGAGATATCTTATCCATACTTGGCACATACAGGTAGATAGGTCTAGTGGTGAACTGGTGCTTTTTGATTGTTTGGGATTTTAAAAAAAAAATATTACCGAGTTTCCATGGCAACGATTTTGAATTAGACTGAAAATGGGATTACTTCTCCACACAACCGGACATGTCATATTGGTAGGGGAAATGAGTATTTCATGTGTGTTCTTGTTCTTGTTTGTTGTTGTTGTTCTTTTTGTTGTTCTTGTTCTTGTTTGTTCTTCTTGTTATTCGCTGTTGTGTGTTGTAGGTGACCAAGAGGCTGGAGACCCATCCCTGTATTGTGACTGTCCTGGAGATGGGGTCAGCGCGTCACTTCCTGCGGACGTCCCTGGCAGACAAGAGCCAGGATGAGAGATTCCGTCTCCTACAACCAACACTGGAGATCAACCCAAGGTGATGCCACACATTTCTGTCCTGTTCCTCACATGACCCCACTACACTGAGTTCTATACGTAATGAGGTCCGAGTCATGGGGGTGTACTGATTCCTGTCCAGTGAATACATGATGCAGTGCGAGTGACTGTCAACATTACTTCCTAACATACACATACCGATAATCTATAATTCTGTATAGTCTTTCTTTGTTTAAAAACATTGAAGGCTTGGTGATCCCTAAGAGACAAAAGATCACTGTCAGATCTCATTAAAATCAGATCTAAGTTCTCGCTGCCGCTAAACAAAGATCTGAGGTCATCCCATTACAGGTCACGTCAGAACGACCTTTCACTAACTTAGACCGACCACTGGAATGACCCCAAGAAGTGGACATCAGCCAATTAGAAAGCACCTTGTTTCAACCTGGCGACTTCCATTTCAGACTAAGCTTGAAAAATATGTTGACACAGTTCTCAATTAAAACTTTGAAAAGTGAACAAACAAAAATTCCGGAATGTCTTATATATGTTGAGATTGTATGGCAGTGCTTCCCATGTACCGTGCAACGCCTCTTCCGTTCAAATGTTTATCCCATGGAAGCAAGAGATAGACGATGATTTTGACAGAATCAGTCGTAGGGGCCGAAACTGTCGTTCGGAATACCCCGTGTTAACGTTTTCGAGGTTGCATGATTAGAAAACACATTCCGACTGTCACTTTCATGATCTGGTAAGCGACGCTTTGATTGGTCCGATGAAAGGTCGTTCTCAGCAGCAAGAACTAAGATCTGATTTTAATGAGATTGGGATCTTTGAGCACAATATCAATCACTGGATTGTCTGGTCCAGACTCGATTTTTACAGGTTATTGTGGAATATTGCTGAGTGTGGTGTTGAAACACGTACATGCACGCACGCACTGACGCACTGACGCACGCACACACTCACACACACACTGTTGGATTTGGCGTCTGCTCATATCTGCATCCTCGATCCATTACAGCCACACCCTGATCAAGAAGCTGTACGCCCTGTCCTCCTCCGACCCCACGCTCGCCACGCTGCTCGCCGAACAGGTAATGCCTTTGTGTTTGTCCTACTGTATATTACCAGGTATTTGGCCAAGCTTTGGAGAATCCAAGGCACAAAAAGGAGGCGTCTTCTCTTTCAGACTCTGATAGCCAGTATTTGCCTATATTTCTCATTCAACACTGTACATAGTCAGCTAGAAGCTAGGTTCCCTAGGAAGTTTGGCTCAATACGGATATTTAACGTTGCATATGTTGATGACCGTCTCAGCGCTTTTACTGATGTCATGTGACCTGGCTGTAGTTTGGTTGCGAGCCTGATGTTTGTTTTAATTTTGGTGATTGTCTCGACTGTTTGAACGTGACGCTTGCACATTGGGCACTGATTACAAGTTCCCAGCATTCAACATTACAAACCATTGTCAGGTTTATTAGGAGGATGAACAAATATTCTTCATGATAACAGGCTTCAACAGTATTAAGATTTGATAAGCATCATTCACAAATTTAAAAAAAATCACTATCCTCAAGTTAGGGGCCAATCATTGACTACAGAGGTGGGTGGGCTAGAGTTTTTTTACATACTAATGTACCGAAAAGAATTACACCCCCCCTAATCCTTGCCTCTTTTTGGATATCCCTCCCCATGTCCTTGTATTTTTTTTCATGTCCCTGTCTGACAAGACAAGATGCAGAAGTCCTGTATGTTAAAATTACTATAAAATATCTATTTTATCATGAGCCTTCCCAAATATGTGTATTATGAGACCCTTGAGACTGTCATGTGTTTTGGTGACGCTCCCCTGATTCCCTCTGACCCATCAACCCCTATAATAAGTGACAGGTTCCTTACACATTTTCCTTTTATTATGACCACCATAACATGCCCATAAATTTAGATCCACAGGTGTGGGTGTAAGGGAAGTAACTCTGTGGATCGTATGTCATTCAAATTACCTCCCTTTGTCCATACTGCCATCCCACAGTGATGGCCCATGTTCATGAATAGTTAAAGATATTGATTTGTGCCTTCATGGATTACATCCCTGATGTTTGCCATAATTGTTTTACAAGATGAGAGACATCCATACACGGGCTGAGTGGGTTGTCTCCCCTGTCTTGTGCCAGCTGTTGGTCTACATCTGCTGTTGTCATCATGTGCCGTCAGTCAATATCTGAGTATGCAGACTCACTAATGCATATATCGGTGTCATACGATACCTTACATCCAAAACCCAGCTGCATAACTTTCTGTTCCTTGGTGTTTGACATGTCGAGATGTATGCAGAAAGCATTAATTTGGGAAGAATCGCATACAAGAGTCGACCAAGGAAGTTTGAAATAATTCTTCCAACTATATATATATTTTTGCGTTGGAAAATTGATTAAATCAAAGAAGTTGGCACCTGTATCCCTGAAGTCACCTGTTCAAAATGAAGGATGAAAGTCAACAGGTCATATTCATATGTCAAAGTATAAAGGTTTGGTTGTCTCCAGATTAAAATACTATTGTAGGAAACATGAAGGACCCCCAACTCGCCCCTCCTAATTTCTATCGTTGGTATTCATGTCACAAAAATCAGTAATTCGTCTGATGGCTGACATGTTGGAGTGTGGCAGGTGTGCTGGAAGTACTTTATAAAGATTACAGGATTTCCTCATTTCATACAAGTTTTCTACTGATTTGTTATTGACATCTTTATTAAGACGGGACAAAAACATTCAGTCAACATTTGTGAAAGCCAGTATAAGTTTCCTGTTGTAACACAGCGCCATGGGTAGATTGAGTTGGGGTGGCAGGCACAGAGATGTTGATATAGGGGCAGAAATTGGAAAGGGTTTCCACAAACAGTTTATGTGATCTGACCATCTGTAAGTTATCTGATAGCATCCAAACAGATGTGTTATTATCTCGATGATGTGAGTCTCCATGACATGATATATAAAAGTATATGTTCTCATTTCCAGTGAGATATGATTTCAATGATTAGCAGTATATGTTGAGACAGGTGCAACAGTCGTTAGAGTTGCTGACACAGCAGTTCACAACATTACACATTTACCTGTTCTCTCTCCAATGGACAAAGGCAATGTTAGTTTTGAGATATACATGTCTAATAAGTTGTACACTGTTTATATACTCAATAAGTTGTACACTGTTTGTATACTCAATAAGTTGTACACTGTTTGTATACTCAATAAGTTGTACACTGTTTGTATACTCAATTAGTTATACACTGTTTGTATACTCAATATGTTGTACACTGTGTGTATACTCAATATGTTGTACACTGTGTGTATACTCAATATGTTGTACACTATTTATATACTCAATATGTTGTACACTATGTGTATACTCAATAAATTGTACACTTTTTTTATACTCCATATGTTGTACACTGTGTATGCTCAATAAATTGTACACTTTTTTTATACTCCATATGTTGTACACTGTGTATATACTTAGTACGTTTTACACTATTTATATACTTAATAGTTGTACACTGTGTGTATACTCAGTATGTTGTACACTATTTATATACTCAATACGTATTACAATTTAGGTACTCAATTAGTTGAACACTGCGTATATACTCAATAGCTTGTACACTATTTATATACTTAATAGTTGTACACTATTTCTATACTCAATTAGTTGTACACTATTTATATACTCAATAAGTTGTACACTGTTTATATATATTCAATAAGTTGTATACGGTACTTTATGTACTCAAACACAAAAGTAACTAGTCATGTACAGTAATTGGTAACTGTATGTCTAACTGTTTGATTGGCTTTCTAGAAGTTGGTGAGTACAAAAGAAAACATACAACTTTATAGATAAGAACTGGTTTATTGTATTTAACGACACTTCAGTGTAGATTCTTACACTGTTATCAAGCTGGAGTGATGGATTAAAAATCTTTATCAAAACATCACAGTATGCAATGAACCAGAAGTAGTTACATTCTTATGTATCTAAATAAACAAATACAACTAGTGATGACAATCTCATTCAAATCAGATCTTAGTTCTCGCTATCGCTAAACAAAGATCTGATGACATCCCATTACGGGTCACGTCTGAACGACCTTTCATCCAACCAATCAAAGCGTCGCTTACCAGATCATGAAAGTGACAGTCAGAATGTGTTTTCTCATCATGCAACTTCGAAAACGTTAAGACGGGGTATTCCGAACGACAGTTACGGACCCAACAACTGATTCCGTCAAAATTATCGTCTCTCTCTAGCTTCCGTTCCATTTGAACGGCGGAGGCATTGCACAGTCCATGGGAAGCACTGCCATACAATCTCAACCATTTATTAGACATTCCGGAATGTTCGTTTGTTCAGTTTTCAAAATTTTAATCAAGAACTGTGCCAACATATTTTTCACTTGTATTCTGAAATGGAAGTCGCCAGGTTGAAACAAGTACCATAAAGCTAGAGAAAGCTGCTTCCTAATTGGCTGATGTTTGTCATTTCAGTGGTTGGTCAAAGTTTGCGAAAGGTCGTTCTGACGTGACCCATAATGAGATGTCCTCAGATCTTTGATTAGCGACAGCGAGAACTTAGATCTGATTTTAATGAGATTGCTAGTGATGATGGACGATATTGATTTACAGAGTGATCAGTCTTGTAACTGTGTGCACAACAAACCACCTGTCAACACAGACCATGATGGTTGGATGCAGTTTATAGCATTGAAAGTCACACTGCAAATTTTTTTCAATTAGGTTGGTTGGTTGGTTGGTTGTTTAACTCCGCACTCAGCACTATTCTAGCTATGTGACGGCGGTCTGTAAATAATCGAGTCTGGACCAGACAATCCAGTGATTAATTTCATGAGCATCGATCCAAGCAATTGGGATCAATGACATGCATCAACCAAGTCGGCGAGCCTGACCACCCGATCCCGTTAGTAGCCTTTTACAACAAGCATAGTCACCTTTTTACGGCAAGCATGGGTTGCTGAAGACCTATTCTACCCCGGAATCTTCAAGGGTCTTTTCAATTAGGAATAAATAGGAATAAATATAGCCTGACATTTCACGATTACTTTCTTGGCTGAATTCAAATTTTACATTTTGATTTTGTTAAAAGTTTCAAACAATTCAAATCTTTATAAAGCATATGGGGTTTGTTTTCAGACCATTTATAAGAAGTACAGTCTAAATCTTCGAAGTGAAAAGGGAGTTTTGACTTGGTGCTTGTAAACATCTACAGTAGGATAAATAGGAGCATGGATACTGTCAGCATGGTTGTTATGAAATCAGACATTGTGCTCAAGAAACGGGGCACGGGTGGCCCAGTCGTCTAAGGTGTCGCCTTTTGCTGTGCAGAGTTGCGTCCCTTGGGCTTGCCAGAAACCTATGATTGTGGGTTCGAATTACGGTTCGCCGTGATTATGTTTCGAGGTTTGTCAGCTCCATACCCGTGCTCGTGGTTTACACCACAATGGTAAACGTCTGAGACCTGCATCACTTCGGGTTTTCCTCCCACATTAAGCTGACATGCCGCGATATAACTGGAATACTGTTAAAAGCGGCGTTAAACCCAACTCACTCAAGAAACAAGTAGTTTAGATGAACCCATTCATATTTGACTCAATATTTGATATTCATTTATATATTGTTACAAAATTACTTTTTGGTTATCTACTCAGAATGGTTCACGAACTCGTTTAGCTTGGTCGTATAACGGTGTCTATCTGGTAACAGTGCTCTCACTAAAGTACAATTACAGTTGAGAACAAAAGGGGAAAAAAAGGAATTTGGGACAAATTACAACATTTTAAAAAACAAACTTGCAAGTTTATCTGAAAAAGGTTATCATTATACTTAATATATATTGCCAACATGTCTCTGAAGTAAGACAGCATGTCTTCATGGTATAATGTCAGACCTTGTGGAATTATGACAGCATTTTATTTTCTGTTTTTATTGAAGATGATCTTGGGCCCTGGGTTTCCTACTTTTTCATATTATGGTTTTATTTTGTTTTCTTATCGTTCTCTGTGTAACAAATGAACATTTTCCATTTT